AGTTCACAAAACTGAAGAATGAATCATTCACTAACCAGTTCTGAACACCCTTAGCACAAAAAACAAAGCAAGTCATACAGAATTGAAATAACTTGAGATGTCTACTCGTGTATGATCATTTTCATATTGGTGTACAATATCCCACACAAGTGTTGTTGCAATAATGATGCGCTGATTTAACAGATTTCTTACCTGGGCTATTCACGCCAACCGCCCCTCTGCTGATGTTTGTACTACTCCCCAAGGAAGAAGTACTGGTCACCAGTGTCCCCCCGCTGGGCTTTTCCATCCGGGTCTTTAACTGCTCATTCTTGGGTCCTGCAGTATCCGAGTCCATCTCAGATTGAGCAGTATCTCTGGATGTGACTGTTTTGGACTCATCATCGCTGTCAAAGCCAAACGGATCCTCTGAGCTGTCGTCATCATCAAAGCGGGGTCGTTTGGTCAGCTCTGAAACATCTGGCTTGAATGAGGGTCGTTTGATGCCCAAATGCGCCTTGTAGGTGGACTCTCCCCATTTGGTGGTGAGTGTAGCTTTCTTGTTAGAGAACACTTCGTCAAACTTTGAGCTGGCTTCTCCTCCCTTCCGCGTGTACGTTTTACTAAATCTTGATGTCATTTTGTCGCTTGTTACATATTATCTATAAAGAAGTAAAACACGTTAAAATAAAGGTTAACTTATCAAACTTGGATTATGTAGGAACAAGGAGGTTTACATTTAGTTCTAAATGCTACAGTGAAACTGAAATACACAAACTTGATATATAAACCTTTCTTAGATGTCTTAGAAGTTAGAACTTGTTAGATATAACGTGTTTGAATAATAAATTTTAGCAACTGAAAGCCACTTAAATAGAATTCTTAAAATATAAACCTTCAGGCAAATATGACTAAAAATTATATTGTTTATATATTAAATAAAATATATTATATATTTTTAGACTCCATGAATTCATATAGACTGATGAATATTAGAAAACATATAATATAGACTGATGAAGCTCAGGACTGCCGTTACTTGTCATCTTCTTCTTGGTTACTGTACACAAATAAATGCATTTATAATCTTCATTGACCCTCAGAGCTCTGGGACTAAACCAAATAGAAGTTGATTTATATTCGGATATTCAAACATTCTCCTTAATAATATAATTTCAGAAAAGTATTCTTTGTGAATTCTAGATAGGGAAATCATATAAGCAGCCAATGACTATCAAAGTACAGCATCGTTCACAGTGAATTAGATAGTTTGTTACTGTTGTTTAGTAGTCATACTTGCATGCTAACTCTGATCAAATATTGTACATAACATGATAAACAATATAGGGAATTTTAAATGAATAAATGTGCAAATATAAAACCAACTTTACCTCTATCTTAACCAAGATGTTATCTAATGCTTAACTGACACTATGTGCCATAAAAGCCTGAGGTGTCAAATGAGAGTTTAATTTAAAAAAATGTTTATGCTAATTTGTCATTTCTCTTGTCCTGTTTGTCTGACTAACATTTCATTTGGCAGGCTTTACAGTTAAGGGTCTAAAAATGTTTTAAAATCAAACAAAGCTTGCCTCTGACACGCCATCTCTTACTTCGAGCACGTTAACGTTATATGATCGACTCATTGTAAATAATTCGGATATTTTCATATTTGACTTGGATATTCTCATTATTAACACACCCTCATTTCATTTCAATCCTGTAAGGTTACGTTATGACTTTGAACACACGCGCAGATGTCAGGCAGTAACGTTAACGTTATGTCAGTCGACCCGTTCACTTTCAATCTTTAACATTCAACCTAACATCTTTTGTGTTCTTTGAAAGAAATAACGTTAAGTCTTGCAGATCTGAAGCAACTCTGGTGTGATTAAATGAGGACGCATGTCCTTTTGTGTATGAACTATACTTTTAACGTACTAAGTAACACTCGGAGCAGAAACATTGTTCATTTAAACAGATGGTAACATGTTTGCACACTCACCGATCCTCCGTCTTTCCTCTGGGCCTCTGTGCTCCAAGCAGCCGCTAAGAAGAAGCCCGGGCGGTTTGCTCAATGAGCAAAAGCGCAATGCGCGGCTGCAGCGCGGTGCAACTGGCAAAAGTACAAACGAGGCCAGATCGTGAAGCGCTACTGTTGTTTATTTGTGGAGAGCAGGATCTGTCGGACTGCGATGCGCCATTAGAGTCGCCCCTCCTTCACCGCCCCCAACGTCGGCGTAAACCCTAGCGTCACACCAGAACGCTGCTCGACCAATAAGATAGGAGCGATCTGAGCGTTTGTTTAGCAAACGTAGCTCCAATTGGAGGAAGTGAAAAAGAAGGCTCGCTCTAATTGGAAGACAACTGTGGAGAGTGGGCGGGGCTTAGTAGTGAGGTCGGATAGGTTTTGAATGCTACAAAAAAAAAAAAAAAAAAAAACAAGGTTTTGTGCCTTTTCTTTCATATACATTCTTTCATTTATAAACTTCCTTAAGATAATGAAAACAAAAAGTGCAATTAATCTTCTGTCTTTGATAAAAAAGTGTAAATTACATGAAAAGCCCTAGTCATTTTTATTTATTTATTATATTTATGTATTGTTTTACTTACAATTATTTTTTGTAATGTATTATGTAGGAAATTTGCACCTGTTTCCTTAATTATAAAGTAAAGATGTATTGATAATGCCAAGTTGCTGTACATTACCATAAAAAATAAAATATATATAAAAAAGTTACAAATTATAATATATTTTTAACATAATAGCAGCACGCGTTAAAACTATACTTAGTTACACTTTACTAATCGTGCATATGTAACCATTAATTTAACTGAAATATCAAAACAGACATGTTTTTCGTGTTCTTAATTGTATTTTTTTTAATCACATCTGAAAAGACTGAAATAGACTGAAAAAGAGCAGGGATTTTAATCTCTTAGATCCCCAAATAAGATTATATACACCGGGATTACAATGAACACACGGACCACAGTAAAATATCATTTGGCACATTTTTTGTTTTATTTATTATTTACGTGTTTTAATCACATTTGTATGTGTTTGAATAATTTTTAAATAGTTTTAAGTCTTATTAAGTCATATTTTAGCATCAAATATGTAATAATTATTTACATTTTTTCAAATTATCACATTTTTACTTATTAGTGTTTTAATGTGTTTGTTTAAACAAGCATTAGTATCATTAAAGTTATTAAATATTTTGTATCCATTTTAAAAAAAAATGTCCAACATGCCTATCTTAAACATTTTTACTCTTAATTTTATGTCTTTGATTATGGTTGGTAGAGCTGCACTCTAAGCTGTGGTAAATTGCTCTACAAGCATACACCGGTGACCTCATTACATCAGTATTTTGTGCTCGAGTATGTTCCTGCATCTGTGTTGCTTGGCAATCCACTTTGTTGCAACCACAACCATTTCTATGTAGCTAATTCAAACTTAGCTACACATAGGGAACAAGTTTTATCTGCATCATGCTTGAATACACATTATTTGTTATACATTTATGGTAAAACAGGGCTTGCTCTAAGATAAACTGATAATGTCAAGCCTGTTTAACTCACACATTTCAATAGCTATATGTAGGCAACCATGTTTTTGTTTGAAATAAAGCACTAATTTATGACAATTCTCCTTCTCAAAAACTATTTTGGTCACAGACATTCACCCTCTGCCTGAATGTTGCATTAATATGATGTGTACCACAAAAGATTGTTTTTAACATCATACTTCAACTATTTTACAGACTAAAGAATCATGCCTATAAATGACTATTTATATATATATATTATATTACTCTATAGCTGTTCCACACCAATGATGATTTGTTATTTTACAGTATAACCTTTAACATGCTCACATACAATATAAAACTATGTGAAAGATTAATAAGCTTCTCAATCAGCAACATACAACAAGACAGACATTCTCGGAATACTTAAACTTTTAAGTATGTCCAATTCAAAACACTGAGTACAAATACAGGCCATCATATGTAAACTTTATGCTTCTATTTACTGCAGACAGTAAAGTGCAAAATATCTTCTCACCAGCAGATGGCGCTAGAGTTTAACCACGCTGTTGACCTCTTTTTGTGCGCGTGTGTACCATTGGTGTGTTCGCGCGGGCTTGTGACCTCAGGATACAAAAGTAAACCAAATCACACGAGTATGGCTTAAGTATTACAAGGAAATTGTTAATTATGAGGACTTTGTTTATGCCCCCTTCTATTTTTTACTTATAAAACATACAGAATTTGTTTATTTGGAATGTAAAAAGAACAGTTTTCTGTAAGGCACAGGTGTCAAACTCAGTTCCTGGAGGGCCTCGGCTCGGCAGTTTAGTTCCAACCCTAATTAAACACACCTGGGTAAACTAAGTAAGTGCTTTAGTCTTGTATGAAACCTACAGGTAAGTGTGTCGAAGCAGGGCTGGAACTAAACTGTGAAGAGCTGCGGCCCTGCAGGATTTGAGTTTGACATCCCTGCTGTAAGGGCAAGTCCATAGCCAGCCTGCTGAAAGCGGTGGTTCTTTTTTTTCCTCAAAGAGTAGACATTTTTGCAGTTATTTGTGTAATTTTCTATAATTATGAGGTGTAAATACTGCAATTTAGTGACATTTTATGCACTATTTACTAACTAGCTATATTTGCTTGTCGGATGGTCATCATAACACACTTTTTGATGTACCAAAAACATTTGTTAAAAATTTAGAAAAAAGAAATATATTAACAATAGCCTGCGTATGTTTAAAATAAAAAATTATTATATCATCTATCATTAGAAAAAAATAGGAATCTGTTAAAGTTTTAAATTAAAAACTGTAGCCTATTGTCATTTATTAGGTAAATAACAAACTGGCCACCACATTCAACATTCCTCAGTCAGAATTTGGGATGGCACAGCGTGACTTCAGAATGAGATGTGGCAAATTTGGTTTCCCAAAATCTGTCCAGACAGCCAACACAGGATTTCGCTGGGTCTTAAAGCCTTTTTTGAAGGGTTATTTTCAAAATGTATTATGAAATAGCAGTCAAAATAGGACAAAGAACTCATGTTTGGAGCAATTTCTGGACCTTTCATCTTTCAAACCACCCAACCCCCCTGGCTACAGGCCTGAAGGGATAAGGTTAGTGTAGTATAACAGAAAATACAGTTTGTACTGTATACAAAAAAATTTTAGAAGGTCCCAACAATTCACAAAAAAAAAACCAGTATGTGTATGATGTTTACTGATCAGCTACTGTATGCTTGTTTGAAAACTGTGAAAATTTTATGTTATCTGTCTTTATTAAGTCCTATAGAGGCAACAGTTACCTAAATCCCACCAACATTCAAATAGCTTACTGTTAATGTATATTTGAATTACACAGGATACCCTCTAAAAAGTTTTTTAGAATCAAATTTGTGAAAAACAGTTTGAAATTAGACACTTAGAAGAGGGTTTATAATATTTGATGTAATCAGTAAAAGCATAAATACATCGACAGTTTTGTTTCGAGTAAAGCTGTATTAGAAAAGTGTGTAGATGAGCTATGATGGCAAAGTTACATTTAATATGAAGGAAAAATAACAGCCAGACAAAATATTATTTCAAAACATTTAAAATAGATCTGTTTTCTTCTAGGAAAATGAGAATACTGTGAACTTGTGATATTGTTGAAAATGAATACTATCATATTGATCTCGTGTTGAGCATTAGGAAGTAAAGGCATACAAGTCTTGAGAGAAAACAGGAGAATATGAAAAGGTTGAGATTTGCATGGACACAAACTGACTGAGCACCTTAAAATAAAATCATCTATTAAAAAATACTGATGTTCTGTAGCATATCTCTCAGAGTCTCTGTTTACAAGAAGAAAAGCTGTGCAAAACGTTTCGCGATTAATGCTAAAAAGACATCTTACAAGGGATAACATCCAGTTTAGGAGGGATTCATGTGCACATTTCACAACATTTGAAGGCACTTAACCTGTAATTGCATTCTGTGTTGCTGCTAGCATACGCTGCTCTCTCATTCACATGAGGATTACTTGAACAGATTCCTTGTCATCACAGCATGATATTCATAGCTCCTCATTTCTAATGTGGCAGTTTCCCAAGAGTCTTTCTACTGCTTAGCTGCAAGACTTCTGTAGTGTTTATGGGCCTTGATGATCTCTGAAACGACGGAGGGGTCATCCAGCGTGGACACGTCCCCTAGGTTGCTTGTGTCCTGCACTGCAACCTTTCGCAAGATTCTCCTCATGATTTTTCCAGAGCGTGTTTTAGGAAGACGCTTCACAACCTTAAAGAGACAAGAGATGCTTTCATAGCTGACAAAACAAACATGTTCAGAGATATGTGCAGACAGTGAAAGTCTAGACACACAGACTACTCAAATGTTTGAGAATAGTAAGATTTTGTAATGTAGCTTATCAAAAGTGGCTTATTCACCAAGGTTGAATTTATTTGTTATTATTAAAGTTGATGAAAATTGTTAGGCTGCTACATATTTGTTGTAGAAACTGTGATACAGTACTATTAAAAATATAAAGTTGACTGCAATATGATTAGCCTATATATATTTTAAGTGCTGTTTTTAAGTGTGTTCAACATGTTTAAAAAAATATTGGTTTTAATAAATGAATTTTACTAACTAATTTCTTTTGTCTTTGCCATGATGACAATATAGTCACTAGTTATTTGGCAAGATAGTATTATTCAGCACGAAGTGTAAGTGTATTAGGTTAATTAGGCAAGTCATTGGACAACAGTGGTTTGTTCTGTAGGCAATCAAAAAAAGTCTTTCTTAAAAAAAATACTCAACTAAACTAAAAACACTTTTACTCCAGTCAAAATAAATAAAATTAGACTTTGACCAGATGATAAAAAAATTCACGACTTTCTGTGAAAATGTCCTTGCTCGGTTGTTTGAAAAAAATTATGATGTATCATAATTTCCACAAAACTAAGAAGAAAGAAAAATTATTTCAACATTTATTATAATAGAACAGCCAGTCAGATTTCTGAAAAACTTTAGTATGTGACACTGAAGACTGAAGTATTTCTGATTTAAATCAATGGAATAAATGTAATGTAAACATAATAAATGTAACTGCATTTAACACATTTTAATTTAAAACATCTAATTTAATTGTATTTTCGATTTTACAGCTTTACTGCACTTTACACATGTTCTGCTAACTTTTTTACTGCATTTTGATGAAATTAATAAATTAGCATTGATAAGCAGAATATGATTAGTTTAAAAACATTAATTAAATCTTACTAAACCACCCCCGACCAACAAAAATAAAACAAAGTGGAAAAATGTCATGAGTTTACCAGGAAATGATCAGGAACGGCATATTTAGCTATTTTTGAGGCCACTAGGTGTCGCAGCTCATTCACAACAGCCTGTTGGTTCTCAGCAGCAGATTCTTTTAAAACTACAAACGCAAATGGAACTGGGAACAGAAGAAAAGAAAAGCAACTCAAAAGTTAGAAAAGTTAAAATTGAAATACATGTACTTTCATGTCAAACATGTAATCACTAAATTTTATTATGGCCAATCATGTCTTTAAACTTTTCAGTTTGGTTTTCACAATGACCAAGATGTCATATGATGAATGGGGTCAAAAGGTCTGGGGTTGCTGGAGGTGTCCCAGATGGCTCATGAATTTAAAAAGGTGAGAGGAAGAGGAAAACAAAGGTCTGTCGTATGTCTCACCTTCTCCCTTTATCTCATGGGGAATCCCGATCACGGCGGTCTCAGGAACATCTGGGTGTTCATCCTTAGGCCAGAGAAACACACACAGTCAACCAACAGTTGGATTTTGGTCAAAAACAAACAACAACAAAAAATAGCATTTAAACGATTTTTAAAAATGTTATCGATAGTAGTTTCTTATGATTACCAACACTCAAAAATATAGTGTAAACAGTAATATTAGAATAAAAGATTAAAATAACTTTTGTTTATTTTAATTTCATTTTTAAAGTGTGATTTAATAAGTGTGATTAGCAAAGATGAAGTTCACAAGTAGGTACAGTGTCATAGGATCCGTCAGAATTTTTTTAAGCTAATTTGGTGCTTAAGATACATTTCATATTGTTGAGAACAGTGCTTTTTTTGTGAAAACACAAATGCACAGATTAGTTAATGAATAGAAAGCTCAAAAGAACAATATTCATTAAACATTATTTTGCAACATTATGTATGTATTTATTGCCCCTTTTGTATATTTAATTTATTGCCACTTTTTAAAACTTTAATAATTCATTTCTTACCTTAAAAAAACAACTTACTCACCCCCAAATTTTAGACAGTAGTGTACATTTGCTGAGATCTTCAGCTCTTGTAAAAATAATCTATCTAAATGACTATATATATATTATATATATAAGATTGAATTCAGTTTGACTAATAATTTGTGTTTATTCAAATTATTTTAAAGACACATTGGAATAATAAAAACTGATATTTATTTGCGGAAAAAGTATCTCACCAGTGCATCCTCAATCTCAGCGGTGCCCAGACGATGCCCACTAATATTGATGACGTCATCCATTCGTCCTGTGATCTGGTAGTATCCGTCTTCAGTACGGTACGCCCCATCACCCGTAAAATACTGACCTGTTGTATGCCATGAATTGACATCTTTATATGAATTCAAAACTCTAGCATCTAGTGGCAAAAATGACATACTGTGCCTTTGTGGAATTTTACTGAGGTAAAACTTAAAACTGAAGTATTTTTATCAAAATAAATATTCTTAAACTATTTTGATGTACATTAGCTAGTAGTGAAGTATCTATGTTCAAAAGTATAATTTATTTCCCAAAAAAAATAAATATCGAGTCCCCCAGAAACACCATTAAAAAACTGAGAGGTTTACTCAAACCTGTCAATCACTTTCCAGCTCACACAATTGCTAGAGTCTGGGGATTGGCTACTCTAGCAGGCAGGCTGAGCCAGAGGGTGTTTAGGACCAAGTTGGACCATGTTTTCCTTGTTTTACCCCATTGTCTGTCTTTTTCTTGTAGTTTTGGCTTGCATTTTTGAATCTGAATGTGAAACTGAATACTATTATTACTCGTGATAAGAAACTCATATTTGTAAAATATGCAAAGACAGTCAGTGGGGATACAACAAAGATACTATTGTGATGCTTTTACAGGACTTAGATTAATAATTGAGTTTTAAATGAGATGTCGAATTAACAGAGTTTCTTCGCTACTGGTCCTGAATTGAATGTTTGCAAAGGTTTGAAAAGATGTGTTTGGTTTTTTATTCCGCTAGATGTAGCGCAAAAACTAGATA